GGGTTGTCCCATTGTCATAACCTGAAAATAAATACATCTAATTATTTTGATTCAATGTTAAGAAAAGAGCTTTGTTCAATTTATTATGAAGGTGAATTAATTTCAAAAGAAGGAGCCTTATTCGACTTATTGTGAAGGTATCCCAGAACCAGAGCGCCAGTTCGATCTATCATGACTACGTCCAGGAGCCAGAAAAGAAGTTTGACTTGTTGCACAATTAACAAACAGCCGGGAGCTCAGTTCGACTTATGTTGAACATGTGCAAGACCCGCTGGCATAATTCAAATTGCTTTTTTCTAAAAGGCAGGGGATTGCTCGATTTCTTGTGCATCTTGCCAAGAGCAAAGAACCCAGTTCGACTTGTTATGAAGGCTGGAATAGTAACACAGTTACTCTGAGGGTTGCTGGACTGCTAGACTCTGACCTTGTTCGACTTATTGTGAAGGCTCTTGTTGCAGAATCCAGAAAAACCAGGAGCCCAGCTCGACTTGTATTGAAAACCGGAAGTATTCTGCTAAACTCATGGCTGAACACGACAAGTCAGAACACGCGTAGGAAAAGCAGACGAAAGCAATCGAAGCAACCTCAACAAGAATAGCATTTAGAAAGCAGTGTCGATAAACATGCGCCGGCACCGCCGCCATGGCGAACAATGGCCGGCAAAATGGTGCCAAGGATGGAGATGCCATGGCAAGAAGAACCACCAGAACAACAGCCCATGGAAAAAAATGCAGCGCGAAATTAAAGGATGCTGGCAGGACGAAGAAGAATATCTCAACGCTGCAGAGCTACGACGAGTATTGCTTGTCTTGCTTCGTGCCAAAGCACGTCCACGTATGCTGCAGCAACACATATGGTTAGATGCCTGCTGGTATCTTACACGAAAGTCTCGATCTCAGCCGAAAGTCAAAAAACCTACAGAACACGTATTATATACTCTTGCAACAGTCCGCTGCTGAGGTCCGAAACAGCAAGGCTACGCAGAGACAAATGCATGTGGAATGCTTGGGACAAGATGCTCGCGAAACTTCATGAAGCCCAACGCCGTTTCTGATTGTGCTTCGAAGCAAGATGAAGCATGTGAAGGCTCAGATGAAGACGAACAGCGACAGTTTCACCCCTGCAGATGTCTAATGGCACACACGCTGCGGAAACAAAAGGCAAGCTATCATGACAGTCCAGAGCCACGAGACTTGCAAGATTCCTAGCTCTGGGAAATAGACGTCTCGTAGCCACGGCAAACAAATCACACAATCTCTCACTCAACAGAAATGTTTCGGCTTAGGCTAACAGTCAACACCTCGGCGCGTGGAAACAATATTGCATGACCGCCCGCCCCCCCGCTCACCCAACCCCCCGCGGTCAGGTGTTTCGACCTCCCCACCTCCCCTCCCTGCTTTTGGTTTTGAACGGTTGGGTGTTTCGATCTTCATGAGGTTTCCACACCAACCCCAACAGCGACCCCTGTACCCCGAGGCAGGCGGGGGTGGAGGGGCCTCGTTCAGGTCGTTCCTTACCAACGATTCTTATGCGGGAAACGCAGTTCGACTTTTAATGAAAGAAGACATACCCCATTCACATTACGTAAGAATTAGATTCAAGAAAAGGAGCCTCGTTCGACTTATTATGAGAGCTTCAAGAACCAGAACACCGGTTCGATCTATCATGATTATGTTTAGAAGCCAGAAGATCAAATTTGACCTGTTGCAGAACTAACAACAGCCGGGAGCCCAGTTCGACTTATATTGAACACGCGCAAGAGCCACTGGCGCAATTTGTCATTGAGTTTTTCAGACGAGTTTGTTTCACCTATAACAAGGGGTCCAGAGCTGCCCCGGACGAGTTTTTTTCGAGCTTCTGAGGAAGGGGGGGGGGGGGGGGCGCACCAGCAATTTGTTTGCTTTTTCTTAGGGTGTATGAAGCAAAAGCAGAAACGTCAACCCACGCTTGCTCCTTGCAGTCGCATAGAAACATGGACATCGACGATCTACGCTACGAAGCGCTCCAGCTCAAAACCCAGAAGCCATACCTCATCACTTGCCTCGCTGCAACCATGGCTGCCGTTATCTTTCTGAAATGGGCGTTCGCCTACGAGCACTTTGCAGGCAGGAACTTCCACTAAGAAATTGAGTTACGCGCTGGTCGCTGAAGCCTTCCGCACCAACAGGATCTGGCGAGAGCCGCAGCCCCGTGTCCACTTGCAACATCAAGTCGTAGCAATATCCAGTTTGATTCAATGAACGCCTTCTGCATGAGGCCCACGACGAAAACGTGAAATGCTTCACCTGTATGCTATCATTGCTCCAAGGACCACGCTGAGGCCCGGATATTTTCCGCTTACACAGAGCACAGCCACCCTGAATATTTACATCTACTATCATTCACTCAAAGTACAGCACCCAAACTATGCTACACCAGAGGCGTGTGGTCTTCAAGACGTCCGCCCACAAGCTGACTGATTTGCACGGCAGCTGGGTGATCAAAAAAGTCGCTGGCTTCGCAGTCCTTGAAGTGAGCTTCAACTGCCGCGGCTGTCGTGGACGTAACGTGTGGCTGGCGTTAACGGCAGGCTCGGACCATACCATGTCTCTAGAGCATCGCATCTCAGCGAGTCTTGCTGGCTGCCGTCAGGACCTGAAGGTGTCTTCTTCGGTCCGCATCACAATGGATGGGACTATGTGAAGATGACGACCATCTCCATTGACTGGCTTAGCATCCCCACAACTATGGCTCTCGAGTAAAAAAGGATTTCCGGAAAGTCAGAATCGCTAACAGTAGCGTAGCCGGAGCAAAAACAGCTGAGACGCTTGTGGGGCTTCGACGCTCAGGCTTCCTCTCGCACATGCCGTCTGATGCTCAAACGGAGCAGGAGCCGTAGAACCGAGCAATAGAATCACCTAGAACCCTCTCGAGCTACCACCAGCCATGGCAGCGCAGTACGACAGCGAATTCTATCAGGCAGTGGTCTCGAGTTTCATGAAAGCAGCGCGCAAAATCCCATCGCGCTACGCGATTCAGCAACCAGTAAACCAAGAGCCTGCGCCTGCCGACGCCACGGAGAACATTCAAGCGCTGTCGCGCCACATGTGCCTCGGTGAGTCAGACACCCAGTGGCTGATGTACCTGGCAACTCAACTTCACGCAAAAGTCGGGCCTTCAATGCTGGCTCACTTTTGGATACTGAAGCAAGACATCGTTTCGGCAGAAGAAAGACACAGAAGACCTCGAGAACCATCACCTTTCACCCTGCCGCCGGCCGCAGCGCAGATGGTAGAAGCAGATAGCCAAACGTGTCGCTCGTCAACGTCAAGAAAGAGATCGAGATCTACCAGTCCATGATCGGTCGGGCCAGAGCCTCATCTAAACAGCTCATGAAGCCGTTCAAGAAAGATAGCAGTGCAGGCCTGCAAGCCATTCGAGGGAGATTGCCAAGTCCCTGAAAAACCCAAGCTTCTCCAAATACTCCAGAAACCATCGAAGCAACCAAGGACATGCAGATGTCAACTCCTGCAAGATTTGGAACGTGCTGACGCGCCACACTGTCAGAAACACTGTGCTCGAGTTCAAGCACGAGAAAAAGAGAGCCAGACAGCCTGCCTAAATCGTTCATGCGACATCACAGGGTCCAAACGCCGGCCCCAGAACGCACAATGCAAGACGGAAAAGCGCACTGAAAGTTTGCAGCTTCGTTCGCAGCGACGGCTCCGCGGACAGGAAGAGACCTCTCCAAGACCCCATCACTGTCTGGACGATCATTGCAGCCATGGCACTTTCGCAGACCACGATCGTGCAGAAGAGGAAGCGCTTCAGCGCAAGCAACATCACCCCGTCCAAGGTGAGCCGCGTCACGGACCCCAACAACGACACGGACGGCTCGGAAATCATCGTCGCGGTAAGGAACTGGGGCAGCGCCTTCAACGTCTTCGAGAGCCTGACTCGAGACGATCCGCTCTGGCAACTTCAGGTCATCCACGGCGGGCGCAATGCCTTCGGATATCAGGTACTGGCAGTTGCCAGAGAAGCGCTGCTGAAGCACCCCAACAACAACATCCGAGACCTTCAGCAACTGGAATCCGTCCTGAACGTACGCCTCCTGAACGGAGCACCTCCCCACACCGGCGCACTGGACCCAGATGGCACCGGCATCGAAGCATGGCAAGTCGTGCTGTACACGAGCTCCGTGACCAACGCCCTAGACTTCATCCATCTCGTGCTGAAACACAAGGTGGCCAAAGGACATCTGCTGCAGCTGCCCAACATGACCGTCGCGTGCCCAGACGGAAGCGTCGAGTCCGTGCCAGAACCATGGACACTGAACACCAATCCTCCGCACTGCCCGAAAGCCTTCGCAGTCCTTCCGCCCCGTGGACGCCGTCACGTACTCTGTCAGGTGGAACTCTCCGGCTCCAGAACCACAACAGCGAGCAGCCAAGATTCAAAGGAAGAGCCGGAACCGAACACCGAAGTGGAGGACAAGAACAACACCAGCACACTCTACACCTTCAGCTTCTTCGGCGGCATCTACTCCTACCGCGAACTGTTCGACGCGGCCAACGTCGAAGGTGGCTACAACGTGGGACCCGAAGGCAATCGGGACTACGTGCGTACCCTGGAGGTGCTCAACAACCAAGAAGGAAAAGACAGGCTGATGTCTCTCCACGAACAAGTCTTGTTGAACGTGCCCATCTACCTGGTAGACGCCACCGAGAATCCCGACGACGAGTTCGTCGCCTGGTTCGCAAGCCTGCCCCACATAGAGCTCGGAGAGAGAGCCAGCTCGTGAACTGCAGAAAATGTTCGCGAATCAAGAGAGGCGCGGCAAAATGCACAGGCCCGCGCCCCGTCGTGAGCTGCAGAAGACTCTCGCAAATCAAGAGAGGCGTGGCAAAATGCACAGGCCCACGCCCCGCCTGCATTTGTAAAAGTACGTCCCGAGTCAAACGCCCCCGACACGAGAAAGAAAGAAGCATCATGCAAGAAGCACAGACCGCTTGTTAGAAATGCAATCGCATGTTTCATACCCATGCAGCAACGGCGTACGCTACACCCGCAGCTCATTGGCTTACTTGCTTGTCAAGACCGCCGCCTCACACCGCTCCCCTGTGATCATCGAAGACATGTCGGCGACCCGCAGCACTGGATTCGGTCCGACGCCTGCAACAAACAGCATTATCGACGCTTTCAAGAAAGCTCCGCAAAAAGAGCTCACATCTGGAACGTTCACAGAGAACACGGCCGCAGCCAGCAACGAGAACGATCGCAACAAGGTCATCTCCGTATTTAGACCCTCTTGCGTACATCACCTTCCGCAGCACCAAGCCTGCCAGGACTGTCCTGCACGCACGGCAACCACTGCATCGACGACAGCGCCGGCAGCGAGCCCGAGAAACAACGAGGCAATGCCGAAGACAGCAGCTTAAAGGGTGAAACCGCGGTCTGTGCCCGACAAAACAAACTAAGAAAGACAGCCGATTCAGCTTGCAGACCGGGCCAGCAGCTTTTGTTTGATCACAAACACAGGCCGAAGAAAAGTCGACCGAAGTTCCGTCGACTTCGCGCGAGGATCTTCGACGAGAACCACCAAGCAACAACGACCACGCCATGCCACAGGCAGGGTTCGAGAAACATGCAACCAACTGGAATTAGGCCGCCATCCCAACAGCACCTCCTCTCACAAACGCTCGAAGGTCGAAGAAGACACATCGGAAGGCGGCTTGGTATTATCGGAACCGCCTGCGGATGCAAAGGCCAGGAGATTTCGCTTCGCATCTGTCGACCTGTTGGACACCTGGAATTACTGTGCGCAGGCTCCGGAAAAGAAAGCTTCCATCGAGAAGAATCATGAAGGAACAGAAGATCAGGCCACGCAAAAGGCCCCCATTCCTTATCTAGGAGAGCGACAGCAACCAGCTAGAGTTAGGGTGCGTTTCAACAGCACCTCCCCCCACAAACACTCGAAGGTCGAAGGAGAGACGTCAGAAGCCCACCTGACCTTTGCAGAACCGCCTGCGTGTGTGAAGGCCGGGCAGTTCCGCTGCATGTCTGCCAACCTGTCGCACCCGTGCACAGGCTCCAGAAACGAAAACCTGCATCGAGAAGGAGCATCAAAGAAAAGATCAGGCCAGACAACCACCTGCGGATGTGAAGGCAGGGAAGTTCCGCTGCATGTCTGCCAACCTGTTGGACTCGCGCTGCCAACCTGCCGGACTCGTGCGCAGGCTCCGGAAACGAAAGCTTCCATCGAGAAGGCCACACAAGAGGCTCCGATGCCTTGTCTGGGGGAACGAATCATGATCATCAAAGAGCCATGGTTGCAACTCATCCTCAACAAGCTGAAAACGATGGAGATTCGATGCAGTCCCGCCGAATTGGGAAAGACATGGCTGGCATTCGATGGCCAAGTGTTCGGCGCGGCATACATCTCTAACTGCGTCCAGATCACACGTGAGGAGTTCGAAGCCACCAGGGAGCAGCACCAACACTTGGGAGACATGCCCCCCCACGCAAGGGTCTACGCGCTCACGCTGCAGAACATCGTCCGACTGGAGTCGCCGGTCCCGCACTACCGACCGCCAACGACAGCACCCTGGACGATCTTTCGCACCGAGCCCGCCGAGAAGGCAATCAGAGGGCCCAAAAGGAAGAGAGCCCTCCAGGCCTCACAAGAAGGGACTTCAGTCCTGCCGATTCAGGGCATGACCCTCCACGAGACCCCGTCAGAACAAGAAGTAGAAAGTCCGACCTGCTCCGTCATCTCAACGCCAAACAAAGATGACGAGAAAGACGAGCCCACGGCCAAAAAGCAAGATGCGAAGGACAAAGACAACAAGAACGAGTCCTGAAAATGCGTGAGCAACTAACATGCTGGCAATGCTTTCACGCTCCCGACCGCGAAAAACTGAAAGAGCCAAACACAGACCAGTTTCAAGCCAACCAGAACACGCATGTCGCCGGAAAGAAAAACGGTCCGAATTGGCACTGCTGCAAGCAGCCAGCGGTTGCAGGTTTTTTCCCAAAGCCATTCTCATGGGTTGCATGGTACCAGACGCAGAGAAGCCACTGGCTCAAGCCAAGCTCGCAAAAAGTTTCCAAGCACCATGCGCCGATCCATCAAATCGCTCCGCGATGCAGCAAGCACAGGCGCCGAAAGAATGACATTCTCACACAGGCGCAACGCATGCTCTTCCTGTGCTCACTGAGGTCAGAAGGACAACATAAGCGAGGCCTACCAAGCCTTCGGCGACACCACGCACGCCTTGAAGATTCGACCAAAATGGCTGCGAGAAATACTGTCAGGCGCCAGGAAGTCTTTCCCCTGCACTCGAGTTTCCATGCTAATTCCAAAACTGCCGCAAGTACCCGCAGGAACCAAAACCGTGGAACTGCGACCAATGCGCTGTCCGCCGAGCCTGCTCATGACGAAGATCAGCTTGATGGAAACAGGCACCAAGCTCATCCGAGGGACAGCATTGATCGGCAGCTCGCGTCATCTCACAGAAGACGAAAAGAACCGGTTCTCCAACATCCTGCAGGCCATGAGCTTGTCGCGAACATGTGCGTGCAAACTAAAATGGGGGTTGGGATTATTGGCTGCGCAGGAGCTGAACTACAACCCCAACAAAACCTACGCATGGACCTTGCAGGAGGTGCAGGAACACTCCAATCCCTTCCAGGCACGTCCTGTCAAACAAAGGCAAAAAAACCGGTCCTGACCCAACAAACAGGTGCCGAGCCAAGCAGCGCGAGGATCAGTGGTCTGGCTACGACGTGAGCATTGGGCAGAAATGACAGACCGGCAACTCCAGGTGTCAAAAAGCCGGAGAAAACGCAAACGTTGCGAAGCGACTCCGTTGTAGACAAGCTTGACGGCAAAAAGCCAAAAAAGGAAGCGCCGTAGAATGCTCTTTGAAAGATCATCTGCTGCGCCTTCGATACACAAGAATTTCATACAGCAGAGAAAGGTTGAGAAACCTCAAAACGCCCGTCTGAAAACACAACTCCACACTACATCCATACACAGATAGGTCCCTGAATTCTGCAGCATTTTCTGTTTATTCAAGCAAACACAAGCACGTGCCCCCGGGCTCCCAGGATCCGCTGCAGAACATGGCGCAACATGTGCCGAAGAGCCCGACTGCCACACCGAGCCGCCAAAGCCCAAGAGGAGTGGAGCCACCAGTCAAAATCGGATCAGTCGTTGTGTCACTGCCCTCTGGCCGAAGCACAGACATAGAGGTGTACCATGGCACAACAGTACGAGCATTGGCCATGACAGCTTGGCGCCGACTAACCACGGTCCCTACCTTGTGCCCAGCCGAAAACCACTTCACCGTGGCAGATTTCGAACTCGTGGGCAGAAGCCAGCCGAATCTCGCCCTCGTGAGCAGCGACGGTGAACGCTTACATCTCGATAGCGCCTTCTGGAACTTCGTCCGACCAGAAATGACACTCACCTTGGCTCGGAACTCAGCACAATCGGAGCCGCAAAACCCTCTCTACAAGTCCCCAAGCAGCCCGACCGCCACTAAGGTGCAAACATCACGCCAGACGGCGCCAGAAGTGAGCGAGAAAACAAATTCGACGACCGCAGAAGGCGACTAGCCCTTTTCCTTAGCCTCTTACTTATGCTGCAGAGCTTAAAAGCAGAAGCGCTGCGTTCCAGAGCACCTGGGCAAGGGGAGCACGGCGTGTCATGTTCCTCAACAACTGGCCCGGTCAACAGCACATCCGCAGCAAGTTGGCTCCATATTGAACAACGTGCGCATCCATATGCTGCCCTAGCAGCGCCAAATCATGGCAAAATCTCAGTTGCCCGCCATCGTTTGGATGAACGTGCTCGATTTCGCAGGCACGCAGCACACCATGATCGTGACGGAGGACCCGGACCTACCCCAGGACCCGGAAGACTGGCCCAGAGCCCTCGGAATATGCAAGGAACTCCAAGAGTCGAAGATCGTCGAGGACTGCATTTCAAAAGAGCTCATCTGCGAAGATTGCGGAGTCCAACAGAGGATCGTCGTCCTGACAGCCAACAGATGGAACTTGACCAGCTCCCGAGCTTTGATGGCAGTCAACCGCAGCACAGCGAGCGGGTTTCATCACCAGGTCGCACACAACAGCAGCAACGCGCACCCCAACCTCAGCTGTTGGATCAAGATACACCACGTCGGTCAGGATGATGTGCAGCTCGAGATGCCGGTCCAAAAGTTTCACACGCTGAAGTGGTCGTGGATTCTTCCAGGAACCATTCCCTGCACCTCGCCTCCTCCAAGCATCCGATTCGTTCCGCTCTTGAAGGACTACAGCATCACCAAACAAATTCGGCAGCACAAGCTCTGATTTCCTGGCTCCCGTTTAGAACAGCAAGAGCGAGCATGACTAACAAGAGTCGTGCACTTGCAATGAGACAGTGGTTTCAAGTAGCGAGAAAAGCCAGGGAAGAAGCAAGGCGCCCGGTTCGATTTACTATGAAGGATGGAAGAAGCAAATAAGGCATTCACTCTGAGGGTTGATAGACAAGTCTTCTACACGTTGCCACGCGCGGAGAATTCAGTTCGATTCATTGTGAGGCCTGAAAGGAGCCAGAAACCCAGTGTGACTTATTCCGAAGCTATGAGGATTGCTGGAGCGTTCGACTCATTGTGCAGGTTGCCAGGAACCAGGAAAACCCAGCTCAAGAGACTCCAAATAATTCAACCGCTTTGCCCCCCGCCCCAAGCTGCACCTGCTTCCCGGACCGGGAAGTGCAGTTCGACTTCTAATGAAAGAAGACATACCCTAGTCTCATTACGTATAATCATTACTTTCAAGAGACAAAGCCTCGTTCGACTTATTATGAAGGTTTCCAGAACCAGAACGCCAGTTCGATCTATCATGAATAGTCCAGAAGCCAGAAGATCACTTTGACTTGTTGCACAATTAGCAAACAGCCGGGAGCCCAGCTCGACTTATATTGAACACTCCCGCCAACGTTTGGATGAACGTGCTCGATTTCGCAGGCGCACAGCACCAAACAAATTCGGCTGCACAAGCTCTGATTTCCTGGCACCCGTTTAAAACAGCAAGAGCGAGCATGACCAACAAGAGTCGTGCACTTGCAACGAGATAGTGGTATGAAGTAGCGAGAAAAGCCAGGGAAATGCAAGTAAACGCTGACGACCGCGCGAAAAAGAAGGCTGCGTTGGCGCAGGCAATGTTGTCACCGCATATTAGCGCATCTTTACCAGTCACAACATCCCAAAGCAGAGGGCTCAAGAAGTCTCATCTTAGATAAGCCTGCGGCCGACAATACTGCGCGGCACGCCGAGACCCGAATGCGGGGAACCTACAGGCTACGAGATCACATCACAAGCAGCGTCAGTCCCGATCGAGTTCAACGCCGGTCTAGAAGCCCAGCGAGAGACCACGGTCCGGCAGAAGTTCCCTTAGCGACAGAAGTAAGGGAACTCCAACAGCAAGTCCGGCATCTCACAGCCTGCGTTCAAGCCTTGCAAGAAGCAGTGACCTTACTCAAGGCAGCCTTGTGTCACTCAGCCGAGTCAGCCTAATTCATGCACGTACAACACCTTCACGCGAAAGGCGTGACAATCAACTCGAAAAAAAACCCAACGAGCAGCTCTCAGCCGACAAAACCTGCGCCCTGCTACTGCCAAAACGAAACGCATGTGGAGCAAAATGTTGCAGCGAGTAGAAATCTACGACCCCCGCCAGTGCCAGACTGCAAATCAAACCAGCGTGTGGCCGCAACACGGGCTCAAGCCGGAACCAAAAACCAGGCACGCATAAGTAAACTGGCACAGAGAAGTGGCTCCCATGTCGACCATCGACTACTCCAAGTGGGAGAAACTCCAGGAAGGCAGTGACGAAGAGATGTTCCAGCAACCCCTACCTCCGAGCTCACCACGACAGCCCATCAAAGTCGGACCGTTCGCGGTGGCCAACCCTCGCCTTCCAGACGATCCCACAGCACGCCGCGAAGTTCTTCGTGAACAAAAAGAGCTTCGCGATTTCGTGCGGTTGCATCCATGTCCCGCAGAAGCAGACCTCCGCGCATGGCTTCGCAGGATGCATGAGCAGTCCGAGAAGCCGCAAGTGAAACACGGCACATTTGCCTGGGTCATGCGAAACATGGAATGGAACTCGGAACACCTTGCGTGGTTCCACTACCCCTCCTTTCGCGTTCTGTGGGAGTCCGCCGCTTTGGCACCGAGCACTGCCTTCGCCGGCCAACGCAGCGCTGGCATCACGTTGTATGAGCGTGGGGGCAAGCCCTGCATGCAGTTCAACTTCTACGCCCTGCATCACGCCATGGCCGGTGAGGACTTTCACGCCAATGCACCCTTCCCAGTCTACACCTTCGCAGGCGACATCGAAAAGGTCTGGGACGGCATCGGATCGTGGTGGGCATAGAGGACCACAAGAAACAGAACAAGAAGGGCAGAAAAGCAAGAAACAGGCACGCTGCAATTGCACCAGCTGTCCGCCCACGGCCTAAGAAGCACCGCAACCACCATTTGCATGCGAAGCAAGGTCAGTGCATTTCCGGAGCATACCGGCTCGAGCATCCATTCAAACCGCTCCTGCGACCATCCGAGACATGTCAGCGACAGTCGCCAGGTCGTTTGGACCGACTCCTGCGACCAACAGCATCATCGACGCTTTCAAGAAAACTCCACAGCAGCATGACGGAGCCGGTAAGGCCACGGTGCCAGCGCTCAACGACGCGAACAACTGCAGCCAGGCCATCAGCTGAAGATCCCAGAACCCGGTAGTTCACCTGCTGCACGGCCGCTGCCACCCTTGTCAAGACAATTCTGCACAAACGGCAACCGCTACGTACTACATCCACAAAAACACCGACTACAAGCTCGAGAAGCAAACAGGCTTTCAACAAATCCACTATTAGGTACAAACGCGGAAGATCCAGGATAAAGAAATGCAGAGCATCCAGGTTTAATCCGTTCCCACAATTTCTACCCAACAATCGCAGGCCGAAGAGAAGGGAGAAGCAGTCAAAGTTCCATCGGGTTCGCGCGATGATGCTCGGGCGGCAAAATCAATAAGCCATCGCGCCTTATCAGAGGATCCGGGTTACCAAACAAGAGAATTACATGCTAACAAGCCGGAGTTGATGCACAAGACTGTTCTTTACCTATTCCATCACGGACAAGTCGGAAAGGATGCGTTGGATGCCGACCTAGAGCTGATGGAGAAGCTCCTGTCGGAGTCATCGACGGATGCAAAGGACGGGAGATTCCGATTTTCTTTTGACCTGCCAGACACCGCAACCCTCGCCCAGGCTGCTGTCGACGAAGAGCATCCAGAACCAGGAGAACGGAACACGACGCAGATGTGCGTGCCACGTCCAGGAGAACGAATCATGGTCCTCAAAGAACCATGGCTGCTGCTCATCCTCAACAAGCTTAAAACAATGGAAATTCGACGCGCTGCCGCCGAGCCTGGAAAGACATGGCTGGCATGCGAGGGTCGAGTGTACGGCGCGGCAAAAATCTCCAGCTGCGTCCAAATCACACACGAAGAGTTCGAAGCCACCAGAGCGCAGCACCAACACCTGGGAAACATGCCGCCCTACACCAAAATTTACGCGCTCAAGCTTCAAGACATCATCCGACTGGACGCGCCGGTGCCATACTACCGACTGCCAGCAACAGCGCCGTGGATGGTTTTTCGAGCAGGACCTGGCGAGAAGAGAATCAGAGGCTCCAAGAGAAAGAGAGCTCTCCCGGAAGAAGATGCAGCCCTGCAGATCCAAGACACCCTCCTCGATGGCACAACCTCAGGAACGCGAATGGCAAGTCCGGCTCGCAAGGACGACGAGTAAATTGATGAGCCGACGACCTACAAACAAGATGCCAAAGAGACAGGCCGGGAACAAGCACGCTGAAAGGAGTGGGAGCCAACGAGGCTTCGACCAAGCTTTCTCACGCCTGACTCCGCCTGACTGTGTACAGGCACAGTAGGAAATCAGTCCCGGAGCTTTGTTTCAAGCGTAACAACAGGCACGTGCAGCTGAAAAGAAGGTGCGGTGTCCACCGAATTCGCATCACTTGCCACGACTGCCGCGGACCAATAGGCTCGAAGCAAAGTGTGCGAGCAATAGCCAGAAAACCCGCCGCCGCCATGGACATTGCTTCAGGAAGACGAGCTTGGGCAGACATAGAGGCGGCCTTGCACAACTCTGGCGCACGCGTGAAAATATGCAATGCCGCTTGCAGGACACTGGCGACTCCGAGGAGAGACAACTTACAGCAAAATCACAAGTGTAGCAGACCTACCAAGTGCTCAGCAAGCGGTGCGTCGGCCACAACATGCGCAGGAAGGGCCATCCAGATCTCCAGCGCGACAGAGAAACACAGGCAGCACTGTGTCAAACCCCGTAATGCGCTGCAAATCTGTTCGTTTCTCTTTGTCTCGCTCCCTCTCCCTCTCTCTCTCTCTCTCCCTCTCTCCCTCTCTCCCTCTCGCTCTCGCTCTGGCTCTCGCTTTTCTGGCCTTCACTTCGAGCAACCGCTTCCTTGGTATTACGGCGCACAAGCATGCCCAGGCGCAACAGTATTATGGTGCCCAAGCACGCCCAGGCGCAACAGGGACTACGTCAAGGAAGACCAAGAGCCGCAAGAAAAACAAGAAGAAGCCGCCTGAACTTCCCAGCGCAGAAACAGAGAATCAGACCAAAGCACTGCTGGAGAATTCCATGCTTGCAGCCTGCGCCACAAGACCAGAGCTCAGTTGATGTACCAAAATATAGAGCATATGGCACAAGTTATGATCAAGAGGTACAGAGGAACCCATACCAAAGCTGAGGCGACATTCGCCTACACCTGGAACTGCAAGATTTCGTGCAGTCTGCAATGTCTCACAGGTGTCAGCCGATTTTCCTACGCAACTGGCAAGCGAGTCTACAACGGCGCTGCCTTCTGCATCGCATGCCATGTCAGTTGTGGCACGACTTCGTCTACAATTGGCAGCCGCCAGAAACAGAACAACAAGCAACCATGCACGACAGGGCATACCAACACGCACAAAGCATGAATTGCGACACACAGGTCTCTGGAGTTTCGGCACCAACTACACCCGTGCTGGAGCTGCCTTTTCAAGCCCAGACACCTGCAGCTTTGATTTTGTTCGTAGCTAATGGGCCAGTGCAGTGCTCGGCACAACCGCTGAAGCAAACATACAGAGTTTAATCCCTAGGTAGCCGACCAAAGAAGTGCGCAGAGCAAGAAAAAGAGCACCCAAACAGGCTTCCACCACAAGCATCGTCAGCCAAAGTCCCTTTCTCTCCCCCTCCCTCCCTGCCTCTCTCTCTCTCTCTCTCTCTCTCTCCCTCTCTGTCTCTTTGTTTCTCTCTCTTTTTCTCTGTCACAAATGTACACAAGCAGCCATGACCTATCGAGCGAAAGCAAATTTGCTCCAGCAGATTCTAGCAGCTCCCGCCATGACAACATTGCTGGCTTGTCTTCGCACATACCACCTCAGCACGCTCATCCGAGACATGCTGCAAGGAGACGAAGCGCTGCTCTTGCTGCAGCTCACAAACTTTCCGGAGATGAAGCAAATCGACTGGGCGTGCCAACTGCGAAAGGCCACGGCCGAGATTCGCGACGTCATGCACCCTCTCAAAACCATCCAGCTACGATTCCCAGGCTTATGCCTTCCAACGACCCTCAGATGCAGCAAACTGGGAGACCGATCAGACCCAATAATGAGCCATGGCTACGCCGACAAACTCATGCGCTGGTTGCAGAACAACGATTTCTCGGACCTCACTCCCAGCGAAGCGGTCCGGGTGATGAACGCCTGGGAAGAGAGCCGAAAAGACGCTGGAGCCAAACTGAGCGACTTCCTCCATCAAGCAAAAGCCAAATTCTACTACTCGTGCGGGAGCAACGAGAACTGGCCTTGGAAGTTAGAGTACAAAATAATTGTGTGTTTCGAGTACCAAAGCATCACGGGAATCATTGAACTGCAACAAGAAGAGATACGATAACATGATTAACAATTGTGTCCTTGTATGACACCAGAAGACGGAATATCGTTTCACCAGCCAATCGTGACAGCAAGGCACAGACACAAAAGAAGGAGCCCTCGCGCACAGAGTGACATGCAAAAGATCTATCAGCAACACTGTCCCGTCACCACAAAACGGCACCGCCAGCCACGCAAGGCCAAGCGAGAGAAGTTTTGCACTATCGACACCTGCGCCATGGCCACGCTGCTTACCTGTCTTCGCACAGACTGCTACAGCACATTCATTCGCAACATGCTGGAGACCGAGGACGCCCTGCCGCTGCTGCAGCTGGCCAAGTCCCCGGAGCTGAAACAAGTCCAATGGGCATGCCGCCTGCGAGAAGCCACAGCCAGAATTCGCCGCGTCATGGACCCTCTCAAAACCACCCAGCTGCGATTCCCCGGCTTTGCAGGTGCTGTGACCATTAGCTGCAGAAAGGCCGCGAAGACATCCGACGCAGCGACAAGCATCCAAAACTACCTAAACCTTCTGGTTTGGATGGAAGCAAACGACTTCGCTGGCTACACGCCAAGTGAAACGGTGCTGATGATGAACGCCTGGCCCAAAAGCACCAGAGACGCAGGGGCAGAACTCAGCGACTTCCTCGAAGAAACAAAAACTGCGTTCTACTACATGACCAACTTCCAGGAGCCAGGAAAGTTCAGAGCGAACATGTGCACAAAGACTTGGTGTTTTTTTAAGTGCGACGGTCTTGCAGGTGTCCTGGAAACGCAGGATACAACACCTTGACCCGTCGAGCCAGAAAAGCCGACCAGAGAAGACACGATGAACAGAAGACCGGAGACCGCAAAGACAAAAGACAGGAGGACCCAAACAGATTTCCACCGCAAGCGTCATCCACCAAGATCTCTCACGCTGTCTCTCTCTCTCTCTCTATCTCTATCTCTCGCTGTCTCTCTCTCCCTCTCTCTCTGTCTCGCTCTCTCTTTCTCTCTCTATCTCTACACCGCGACCAATGTACAGTAGCAGCCACGGCCTATCGAGTGGAAGCAGTCTTGCTGTAGCAGATTCCAGCAGCGCCCGCCATGACGACATTGCTAGCTTGCCTTCGGACGGACCACTACAGCACACTCATCCGAGAAATGCTGCAAGCAGACGAAGCACTGCTCTTGTTACAGCTCGCAAACTTGCCGGAGCTGGTTCAGATCAATTGGGCACACCGGCTGCAAAAGGCCACTGCGAGGATTCGCAGCGTCATGGACCCTCTCAGAGACATCCAGCTGCGATTCCCGGGCTTCTTCCGTCCAATGACCATCAGATGCAGAAAGCGCGGACACCGATCAGACCCGATAGTGAGCCAGGACAACGCCGAAGACCTTCTGCGTTGGTTGAAATGCAACGATCTCGCGGCCTTCACTCCCGGCGAAGCGGTCCTGGTGATGAACGCCTGGGAAAAGAGCCGAAGAAGCGCTGGAGCCAAATTGAGCGACTTCCTCTAGGAAGCAAACGCCGAGTTCTACTACTCGTACAGACTCACCGGAAACTGCCCTTGGAAGATACGAGCAAGACTAATTGTGTGTTTCGAGCACCAACATCTCGTCGGCATCATTGAACTGCATGAAAAAGAATAAGAAAAGACAATTGTCTCTGTATGGCAGTGTCGTCTCACACCAGCCGCCCGTACGACCAGGGCAGGGGACAGACGCAAAAAAGCAGCCCTCACGCAGTTCGAGCAACAACGAAAACCAGTGCTGGAGGCACGCAACAAACATCAGCAAGCCTGTCCTGTGGCTACACAACTGCACCGCCAGCCATGTGACATCAAGCCGGTGAAGTTTTTGCCTCGCCATGGCCACGCTGCTGACCTGCCTTCGCACAGACTGCTACAGCACAAACATTCGCAACATGCTGGAAGCCGACGACGCCCTGCCACTGCTGCAGCTGGCAAAGGCGCCAGAGCTGAAGCAAGTCCACTGGGCACGCCACTTGCGAGAAGCCATAACCAGAATTCGCAGCGTCATGGACCCTCTGAAGACCACTCAGCTGCGATTCCCAGGCTTCGTGCGCGCCGTGAGCATCAACTGCAGGTGCAGAAAAGGATGGAAGACATCCCGCCCGGTGATAACCTTGGAAAACGTCCAAAACCTGATGGGTTGGATGGACGACAATGACTTCGCCGGCTACACGCCCAGCGAAGCAGTACTGGTGATGAACGCCTGGCCCAAAAGCACCAGAAACACGGGGGCAGAACTGAGCGATTTCCTCCAAGAAGCAAACGCCGCTTTCTACTACATGATCAATTTCGAGGAACCACCGCCCAGCAACCGTAGAGCAGGCAGGTACATAAAGACAGTGGTGTTTTTCCAGTATAAAGGTCTTGCAGGTGTCCTGGAAATGCAGGATGCAGCACCCTGACCAGTCCACCGCCGGAAAGAACATCTCTGGTGACGACAACACGCACGAGCACTGCCGTACCGCTCACACACTGCATCAAAAATCGCTGCAAGCGTTTCGGCTCGAAGCCAAGCAAGTATTGAGGAAACACGAGACACAAAGAGGCATGCTGCACTTCCGAAAAATCAATGGCGAGCTAGTTTGCAGTTGCGCCGCCGACGCCTGCAGACCTACCGCCGACGACGGAAGCGTCTTGGAGGCTTTCCGCAAGTACCTGCACGAGCTTGAGGGCACCCCTCTCTATAGAACCCAGTTCATCCTCGGCAACGAGATCGCAGACAACAAGCAACCGTGGAACAACCTGAGCACGCTGATCGCAAATCACGGAAACATCGACGTCCAGATGGTGGTGCCGGACTTCTTGCAGGGAGGCGAGGTGGACTTCAAGCGTGCGATAAAGCAAGGCAACTTGAGAACAGTCAAGAGCATGCTGGAAAGCTTCGCAGACCCCAACATGCGCATGGACAAGGAGCAAGAGATCCACTCGCAGCCGCTGCAGGTGGCGGTCAGCTTGGGCGAGCACGACATCACAAAGGCACTGGTGCGGGCCGAAGCGAACATAAACAACCTGACCGACGACCCGCCCTTGAACATCGCCTGCCGCATCCATGACCTCAGGACGATGCAGCTTCTGCTGCGGTCTGCAGCCGATCCCAACTGCAGAAACAAGCTGGGCGACACTCCCTTGCATGCCTGCGTCTTCCACGGCTCAGCCGCCGCGACAGCCCTCCTTCTTCGGTTTCGCGCAAGCATGGTAGCGGAATGCCGTCCCAAAGGGATGACACCTCTTCGGCTGGCCGTTCAGTGGGGTCTGGCCGAGGCCACGAAGTTGCTACTGACATGCCAAGCCATGCTGCAGGAGAGCAGAGCATCCCACAGCGCTCTGCACGTTGCCGCCGAGCATGGAAACATTCCGTTCATGCGAATGCTAGTAAATGCTAGAGCAGACCCCAACGCCACCAATCGTCACGGAGAGACGCCTTCGGACATCCTGCCCAAGCACGCAACTTTTCGAGAACGCTTTGTCTGCAGACGAATTTTGGCTGAGAGAACAGCCGTAGTGCCTCAGTCTCACCCTCCCTGCGCACACACGCCGCAGGACTTGAGACAATCCAAGAGCTTTGCAGACTAAATAGTGCTTTGTGGAATGGATCATGCCTATTCAGCCCGTGAACATCTGCACAAGTCGCACCAGACAAGCAAACACAAAATAAAAGACAAGAAGCGAGCTCGCAGTTTTGACAGTCGAAAAGGACATGCAAACGCGGCAAACGATGCCTGGAACCCAATTCCACCGCACCCGGCTGTGTTTCGGATCGAAGCAGGCAGGTATTGTTCAGAAACCTCAAGTCCAGCCCGCGCAAAGGAAAGATGCTTCACTTCCGGAACATGAGCGGCGAGGTGGTCTGCAGCTGTGCCGCAGAGGCCTGCGCGCCTGCAGCCGACGACAGAAGCATGGCCGACGCCTTCCGCAAGTACCTGCGCAAGCGAATCGGCGCCCCGCGGTACAGAACGCAATTCATCGTCGACGGCAAGATCACAGACAACAATCAACCGTGGAGCACCTTGAGCGCTTTCACGACAACCCTCGCGAACCTCGACATCCAGATGGTGGTGCCAAGCTGCGTAGCGGAAGGCCGCAAGGAGCTCAAGCGCGCAATCAAGCAAGGCAACATTGAAATGGTCAAAAGCGTGATGGAAAGCTTTGCAGACCCCAACATGAGCATAGACATTGTCGAAAGCATGGATCCCGACGACATGAACATCATGAACATAGACACCCAAGAGATCGACCTCCAACCCGTGCAGCCCCTTCAGCTCGCCGTTTGCCTGAAAGAATACTCAATCACAAAGGTGCTGCTGAAAGCTGCGGCGAACGTCAACAACACAAACAGCAGTCCGCCGGCCTTGAACATCGCCTGCTACAACCACGACCTCAGGATGATGCAGCTGCTGCTCAGGCGCACAGCCGATCCCAACCACAGAAACAAGCTGGGCTACACCACCTTGCACGCCTGCGTCTTGCGCGGCGCAGCCTCCGCAACAGCCCTCCTTCTTCGGTGTCGCGCAGACATGGCCGCCGAATGTTGCTGCGACGGACTGACCCCTCTGGGGGTGGCCATTCAATGGAGCATCTCCAGCGCGGCAAAGTTGCTGCTGGCACATCGAGCCATCGTGCACGAAGCCCGAGCATCCCACAGCGCTCTTCACGTTGCCGCCGAGCAAGGCAACACAACATTCATGCGAATTCTGGTCGAAGCCAAAGCAGACCCGAATGCCACCAATCGTCACGGGGAGAGTCCGGCGGACGTCCTGCCCAAGCGCTCCACCTTTCGTGAACGTCATGTCTGCCGACGACTACTGAGTCAGCAGCTGTAGTGCTCAGCGCTCAAGCAGAAGCAGACGTGATAAGAGCCGAAAATCATCAAATCTCCTGCCAGAACGAGCAGGACCTTTGCAGGACGATGTGCGCTTTCAAAAATATGCACCTTGGAGCTGCATACGTGATCATACGTGCGTAAGAGTGTTTGTCAGTCTCAGTTTCATTCTGTCACACGCACGGAAGCCTAGTTCGACTTATCTTGAACACGCGCAAGACCCACTGGCGCAATTCCAATTGCGTTTTTGTAGAAGGCAAGGGCTTGTTTGATTTCTTGCACAGTGTGCTAAAAGCAAGGGGCCCAGGTCGACTTATAGTGAAGGTTGGAAGAAGCAAGTAACACAGTCGCTCTGAGGGTTGCAAGACAAGTCTTCTGCACGTTGCCACGCACAGAGAACTCAGTTCGACTCATTGTGAGGCCTGACAGGAGCCAGGAACCCAGTGTGACTTATTGCGAAGCTCTGAGGATTGCTGGAGCATTCCACTCATTATGCAGGTTGCCAGGAACCAGGAAAACCCAGCTCGAGAGACTCCAAATAATTCAACCGCTTTGCCCCCCCCCCCCGCCCCTAGCTGCACCCTTTTCCCTGACCTCCTTATCAACCATTTTTCTGCGGGAAATGCAGTTCGACTTCTAATGATTCTAATGAAAGAAGACATACCCTATTCTCATTACCTATAATGACTACTTTCAAGAGACACAGCCTCGTTCGACTTATTATGAAGGTTTCCAGAACCAGAACGCCAGTTCGATCTATCATGACTAATCCAGATGCCAGAAGATCAGTTTGACTTGTTGCACAATTAACAAACAGCCGGGAATCCAGTTCGACTTATATTGAACATGCGTAAGACCCACTGGCGCAACTCCAATTGCGTTTTCTAGAAGGCAAGGGCTTGTCTTATTTCTTGCACAGTTTGCTAAAAGCAAGGAACCCAGGTCGATTTATTGTGAGTGTTTTAAGGAGACTGCGTGCGGCAGCGTGTGCACAGAAAAAGAATAAAGCGAAGGACAGATTGACCAACGTAAACAACCATCACGCTAGTCTAACTCCTGCCAACCAGCTTGACGTATCCTTCAAAACACATTCACGCACATGAATCTCGAACAGGTCGTCCGTCGGACCTGGTGCCGCAGCCAAGACTCCAGTCAGTCAATTGTTCATCAGTTTGCAGCAAGTAGCTCATACCAACATCCGCGCCATGGCGCCCTGCTGCAATCGATGCGGCAACATACGCCTAGGCCGCGGAAGAGGCGAGCAATAAACCATGTTTTGCACGACTCTTCCGTCCTGTGACGCGTTGAGGCTATTGCAGCAACATACGCTGCCGACAAGAGGAGCAGCAAGAAAAGGAAAGGGAGAAGGAAGCTGCTAAAGCCAGAAGAGCAGCAGCAAGGAAGAAAAGAGGCGGCAGCGCCCGCGGGCCCATGCCAGGGCAAGGCGCAGGTGGTCGGCCAGAAGAAGAGGATAGCCGCAGACTGCAGCAAAAGGGGCTGCAAGAAGCGAGGAGGGAGGAAGGCGCTGGCGCCCGCGGGCCCATGCCAGGCACAGGAGGTCGACCAGAGGAAGAAGATAGCAGCAGACTGCAGCGAAAGGAGCTGCAAGAAGCGAGGAGGGAAGAAGGCGCTGGTGCCCGCGGGCCCATGCCAGGCACAGGAGGTCGACCGGAGGAAGAAGATAGCAGCAGACTGCAGCGAAAGGAGCTGCAAGAAGCGAGGAGGGAAGAAGGCGCTGGCGCCCGCGGGCCCATGCCAGGGCAAGGCGCAGGTGGTCGGCCATACATTCCAGAAGATCACAAGCATGGCCCACCATACCGTGACGAGGATCTACTCAGCGATGAAGAAACGCAACGAAAGTACAATGATTTCGTGCGAAGCTGGGCCCGTTTTGGTCTGTCCAGAATTTGCAAAACCTGCGGATCCCTGACGCCGGCAAGACACTGCCGCCCAACTGGTCCGGCACAGACCCCAAGTTGTCGAAACTGCCGAGAAAACAAGACGAGGTTCAGACTGCCAGCCTTGCTACCTGCACCGACACCGCTACAGCAGCTAAAGCCCATCGAGCAGCACCTTCTGGCCATGGCTCGCATATCCCAAGTGGTGCTGGACAAGCTCCCTTCGGGAGGACCAAGCGCCCAGTGGGGCAGAATGTACGCCGTGCTCATGGAGGATCCGTGCATTTGCGACGTCCTGACAGGAGCAGTGCTGCAAGAAGATGGCACGGTTCAGGTACAAGGTGTCGACGGTCTGACAGAATCTCCGGCCAGACTGGAGAACTTGCACAGCGCCCTCAAAGAACTCCGGGAGCTGCATAAGCTGTACAGAAACAGTCTCGCCGTATGCGAAGCCATCGAAAAGATGAGCCACATCATCGAGCACAAGAAGACAACCTCAGCGACGACCGAAGCCAACCAGGAAACGAAGGAAGCCAAGCAGGTGGAAGCAGACGAGGAGGACGACCAGCAGTTCACCTACCTGGTTCCAAAAGATTTCAAGGTCCCCAGAGCAGACACGACCGAATTGCGTCAAACCAGATCCAGCGCGGCTTTGATAGACGACATCGACGTGAAGTTCTTCCCACACCTCTTTCCCGAAGGAATTGACGGTTGGAAGCAGGAGTATCAAAGCTTTGCCCAGTATGCCAGAAAACGCTTGCTGTCCAAGGACCAACGCTTCGAGACCTCCGCCTCCTACATCATGTGGCTCCTTGAGACGCAGATGAAGAAGCGGCTTTCCGGCAACGTGAATGTGCGGGTCGGCACGCAGCAAAAGCCAAGGGGATGTCACGGCTACCAAGATGGAAGCCGACGCGTCTACACTGCACTGCGAGACATTCCCGGCACACAGCCATACCTCTATGCAAAGAAGGGCATCGCGCTGAACATGTACGAGCAGCTCGGGCAGCCGCAGTTCTTTCTGACACTGACCTGCCACGCCCAGCAGCCGAGCATCCTTCTAGCAGCCATTTCGGCGCGCTTATTGCGCTTGAATCCAGACCTAACAGCTGCGGAGCAGCTCGATAAAATAGCGCGCAAGATGTTTTTTCTATGGTTGGTTTAAAGTACAACCTATAAAGAAAGGTAGCATAGTGGAATAGCGATCCTTGCTACCCAATCCCACACAGAGCAACACAACATGAGGCTGGAACACCAGGCTGCTCAACTTCTCCGCAGCTATCAAAAGCCCGACTTCAAATGGGACGGCTTGTCTGCCAACCAGCTGTGCAACCAACAACCAGCCGTCGTGGCTCGACAATTCATGCATCAGCTACGACAATTCCTGCGGTGGATGGCTCCGCACATCAATGTGGACAAGAAGATTGACGCCGATGCCGACCCGGAAGACCAACACCACCAAGAGGACGAGGAAGACACAATCAGCATAGCAGCCCCAGCACCAGACACGTCAGGCCAACACCACACCATGCACAAAGAAACACCGCCATTCCACGTAACCGAGTACATCGTTCGCATAGAATGGCAGAAGCGAGGCTATCCACACGCCCACATCTTGCTGTGGATGAAGCCAGTGTCGCCGACGGAGACAGCAAACCCCCTACAAGCCGAAGACGTGGACTGGTCAGATGAGGAAGACTGCCTTCGATTCGTGCCCAAGACCGCTGAAGAGATCAGCGACAAATTCATATGCACGAAGTCGCCGGCAAGCTGGCGAGAATCCACCAAAACAGATGCAACAATCAGAGAGGTGAACGCCAAGCTAGCGGAGATGATGATACATCACTGCAGCGCCTACTGTGGCAAATTCGCACTGGGAGCCTGTCGCTTCGGGTTTCCTCGCGGCGAAGCCGACCGTTCGCGCAGAAGAGATGCCCAAGAGATGTTCTTCAGTCGATGGAAGAGCAGCTTGACGGCAAGGAGACAAAAGCGAGACAGCATGATGGGACAGTACAATGCCGCCATGCTACGAATGTGGAGGGCAAGCATGGACTTGCAGGTAATATGCGAGCTGACAAGCGCCAGCCGCTACATACTGGGCTACACGTTCAAGTCCGAGGAAGACTTCATCGCAGCCCGTCGCATGCAAGCAGTCATCGAAAAACTAGTCACTGAAAACAGCAACCAAGCTCTCAACGCCCAAGAGGTGTACCGAGCCGCACATGCAGCGCTGCAAGGCAGAACAACCTCCACCTTCGAAGCGTGCCACTTGCTGCTGGGATTTCCGGTGGTCGAATTCTCCAGAGACAGCGTATGGATTCAAGCAGGCCCGCCAGAAACCTGGACACTGTGGGTACCGCAACGAGAAGAAGCCGAAGCCATCAAGCAGCCGGACGCGTACTTCGAAAGCAAGCAGGGACAAGAATGGACCATGCCCGTCGCGCAACGATGGTACCAGCACCTACAAAAGGCCTTTGCAGAGCAGGAAACCGATATACCAGTCGAAGGATCCTCGCCAGTGAAGCGGCAGTGGAAGGACATCACCTTCTTCGACTTCTGCGCAGGCTTCAGATACATCGGCAAAGAGTTCCCAGTTCCTCGAAAACGCCCAGCAATCGTGGGATATCGAAACTTCAGCCCCGACCTAGAGCCGGAAGCCTTCTACTACTCCAAGCTGCTGCTGCACTTGACCTGGACAACGCCCGGGGAATGGTTGCGACCAGAAGACAAAGACAGCCACGCCGCAGCTTTCCAGCGAATAGCACGCGACAACAAGCAGTATCCTACCTTCTTGCAATCCATCTGCTTGCCCGCCCTGGATGGCACGGTCCAAGCAGCCCGCAAGCTACAAGCAGTTCAAGCCGTCATGTACATGAAAGCCAAAATGGCACCCGCGGACCTCCGAGACGGTTGGTCGCACAGTCGCGCTGACGAGCAAAACTATCAAGACGCCCTCAAGATCATGGAGGCACTAAGAGAAAGGCGCGGCGGGACCATCGACTTTCTGGCTCCCGACTTCGCGCCAACCGGGCCCGCAAGCAGCGCCTTCACACCAGTAGAGGGTGGAGAAGAAGCTTTCGGTCTGCTCACGACCAAGAACCCAAACCCAGAAACAGAACGACAGCGGCAGGCCATGGAGTACATCATTCGCACCGTCACGGACAACCCGAACACCAAGGCCGGCCCCAGCACTCGACGCCTACGTCTCCTTCTACACGGACCTGGAGGTTGCGGCAAATCAGTAGTGGTGCGCGCTGCCGCCCACATGCTTCGCCAGAGCGGCAAAGGCGTAATCATAGCGGCGCCCACTGGCGTAGCAGCCTGCAACGTCAACGGCGTGACCCTACACCAATGCCTCTTCCTTCCGGTAGTGAACCGTAGTCATGGGAAAGCCTGCGACGCTCCGTTGCCGAGGGGCGCGCACCTCGCAGCCCTGCAAGAACTCTGGGCAAAAGTATCCGTGCTCATAGTGGACGAGATCAGCTTCATCTCCTCCTTCATGTTCGACCGCATAGACCAGCACCTGCGCATGGCCCGAAACATGCCCGACATACCCTTCGGAGGACTGCACGTGATCTTCTCGGGCGACCTCTACCAGCTACCGCCTCCAGGAGGCCACCCTTGCTTCTGCAGTTCCCTATGGTGCTTCTTCGAGCTGTGCGAATTGCAGGGCAATCAGCGCGCCGCACAGGACCCAGAATGGGCCGCGCTGCTGGCGCGAGTGCGCGTCGGCGCATGGACAGAGGGCGACAAACAGATGCTGAGAAGCCTCGTCATCAAGAGGAACAGCAAGCAGAAACCTTCAACAGAAGCCGTGCACCTTTACGCCACTCGCAAAGCCGTTGCAGAAGACAACCAGCAATACCTGGACGAACACCTAGCCAGCACAGGCAACCAACTCTACGAATGCCCAGCCGTGGACATCAGCGTGAGAACGGGCGCACCATTGCCGGCAGAACTCGCCTGGGCCGAGCCAGAGAACACGGGAGGACTCGAGGCCTTGCTGCGAATTGCAGTAGGAGTCCGGGTCATGCTCCGATTCAACATAGACGTTCGCGATAAGCTCGTCAATGGCGCCTGCGGAACAGTCACCCACATCGACGCCGAGGACACCGGAGAAGTGACAAAGATCTGGGTCAACTTCGAAGGACAGGCCGGAGCTCTCTGGTGCGAAGCAAAAGAAATGCAATCGGTGGCAATAGCAAGGCGAACAGCCACATTCCAAGACCAAACCGACAGCCGAGCGGAGCGCAAGCAGTTTCCACTCGTGCTTGCCAAAGCCACCACCATACACAAAAGTCAGGCAGCCACATGCCATCAAGGAGCTCACTCTGCACTGGACAGCACAGTCACCCAAGAAGGACAAGCGTACGTCGCGCTGTCCCGCTGTCCCACCCGCCAACATTGCACACTCAGGAATTTCAACCCTGCATGCCTGCGGTTCAACGCGCACGCAGAATGGGCACTCACGAAGCTCAGAGAACAGCAAGCAGAGAAGTCAGGCAGCGAGCTCTGGTGCAACCTCATGAAGCCTCCGCGCAGCAAAGAATTCTACGCAGAACGGCTGGCGAAGCTGCCCCGCCCAGACCTCCACAACAACAGCAGCCCAGACGACGAACGACCTTGGCACTGCCCACGATGCGGCGAAGCCACGGCCCACACCAAACCAGCGATGAACGCACACAAGCGCATCTGCCCGGCAGCACCGCCCAAACGTGCCCGAGCCAAAGCCAAAGCCAAAGCCAAAGCCAATGCCAAAGCCAAAGCCACAGCCACAGCCACAAGCAAGAAGAGAAGCACAGGCACAACAACGCCACCTGAAACAACATCCTGCAAGCGCAACGCGGTGCGTTGGCAAACCAGCTCGCTCCAGGAGAAAAAGCACAAGCGAGGCACGCCAGACAGCCCAACCAAAAGCCCTCCCAGCAAGAAGACGTCAAGCAACCAGACAAACGCCAGGCCATCACAACAAAGCAACGTCTTCTTCGAAGAACAAGAAGGAGCCCGCTGCGGCAAACATGCGCTCAACAATGCACTCGGACACCGGTACTTCGACACCGCAGACATGCAGGACGCGGCCGAAACATTCATTTGGGAGAACCCCGAACTCGGTGACGATATCGAAAGACACATCTCACCTGACGGGGACTATTCCATCGAAACCATGATGATGGCATTGCGAACCGCGGCAATGAAGAAGTTCGGGCGCCTTTCCTGGCAAATGAGAGACACGCGTGCTACCAGCATCAGAGACCTGGAAGATTGCGTCGGAGCAGTGCAGAACCACAACAACCGGCACTGGGTCGCCTTGAGGCGTGCCGGCGAAAACTTCTTGTACGTGGACTCTTTGAACCGAGCAAAGCAAGCAACAATCCTCACAACGGAACAACTAGAAGCCACTCTGCGCGCCCATCCAACGTATGCGATTCGCGAGATTTGACAAGCCGCTCTCCAACGACCTCTGTGCAACTTGGCATGAGAGAATCAGGCAACATTTAAATTTGTTCAACTTTCGAAGAGTGCCATGCACCGATCTGCCCAAGGCCTTCGAAAAAGTCGCGACGGCTCGAAACTGAGGGCCAGTTTCACCTTGCAAGATATTGAACTAACTGTAGCACAACGACAAAGACTCCAAAAGCACGGTCCAAAACAAGCTCGTGTCTTTTTTTGAAGCCATAACAAAAGAATGTCAGAAAGGAATCTGCGCAGGCGTATGTGTGCATCGCTTCATGCTGACAGCATCTCCTGGATCAAGACAAGTTTGAAACCCATCGCGTTATCGTAGAGAAGAACAGCCATGCCACCCATCGAAGATTGCGGGCCATCCCCAGCCACAAAGCTACGGAAGCTGGACACCACGCAGCAAAATCCGGTGAATCTGAAGCTGCTGGGAGTGGACATCGTGCTGCCCAAGCAAATTGCGAGTCACGAACACCTATCCTCCTTTCCAGAACGTCCTCGCGAACTACCAGCCACAATTCCCGACCACTTCGTGAAGGACACCCTGGCAGAATTAAACACGCACCCGCGAGACAGAAATATCAGCTTCCAAGCAGACGACCACGTATACTTCTGGAAAGGAAAGCGTGTGTCCAAATCAGTCACCCAATTGGTTCACAAATTCACCGCACCGTTCTGCGAAGAACAGGTCATCAGTTCAATGCGAGAAAGCTGCAACTGGCCTCGTCCCGGCTACCTGAAGACCACGCTTTCAGAAAGCCAGAAGAACAAGCTGCAGAAGATACCCGGCGGCAAAGAACTTCTCGCGGAGCTCCAGCGACCAGAACGAGACGAACTCAAAGTATGTCGTCTGGCCTTCAAACTGCGTGCAAACCACGCGAGCAATCCAGATAAGGATGCAGATATAGCATGTGCTCTGACAGAACTCGGTCTCTCTCGGGAAGAAATCATACACAAGTGGGAGAAAGCACGACAGGATGGAGCAAAAGAAGGCACATGGATGCACGCACAATTCCAGTGGCTGCTCAATGGTGGCTCAGTTCCCGCAAAAACCACCGAAGTGTTCCTCCTGTCACAATTTCTGCGGTTGCAAGCCAACACGAAGGCGTTCCGAACAGAGTGGCAAGTCTACGCGGACAGCGAAGACCTGGCTGGCAGCATCGACTACGTGGCTAAAAGGCCAGACGGCAGCGTAATCATCGTGGATTGGAAACGCACAAGTCCACATCGGCTCCAACGTCAGACTTGCAACAAGTTCATGCGAACGCCACTGAGCCATGTCCCCGACTGCACCCTGTGGCATTACCGCCTCCAGCTCAACGTGTACAAGTTCATACTGGAACAGTACTATGGAGAAGCCGTTTCCGACATGTACATAGTGGGAACCAATCCCGAGTACAGAGACCAACCGTTCATAGACAACGTTCCCACAATGGACGTCGAGACAAAGACTCTCCTAGCGAACGTGCGGTGAGGAGCAACAAAAAGCAAAACCTGCATGTGTTCTGCTCACATCAATCCGGGTTCCAGCGCGCTGTCGTGGATTGGAAACCAAAAGTCCATATTGGCTCCAACGATAGACGTGCAACAAGTTCATGCGAACGCCACTGAGCCATGTCCCCGACTGCACCCTGTGGCACTATTCCAACGCCCTGCCAAAAAAAACTGCAGCGTTTCCCCTCTAGGATTTCAGTGCTCTGCCAGAAAACGAGCAGCACTTCCCCCTTAGACAGGCGCCCAGTAATAGCCAAAAAGAAGCACTCTGCCAAAAAAGCGGGCCCTCCAGCCCCCTCCAGCCCCTCCAGCCCCTCCCTCCAGCCCCTCCGCCCCAAAACAGCTCCAAAACAAGGCCGCGGGAGGCCCAGAAGGCCCCAACAAGCTCCAGGAGGCCAAAGGATGCCAAGAAGCCACAAAGCCCCAAGGCCCCAAATCAGGCCCCGGGCCTCCCGAGGCTCGCCCCTGCCACCCAGCCCCCGCCCTTCCAAAAATAAAAATGTGGTTCCAAAAAAAAAAACGTTTCGGTCAAAACTTTCGCTCAAAACTTTCGCTCAAAACGTTATTGGGACCCAAACCCTATACAATATCTATAAACCCTAAACACCCTAAACCCTAAACCCTAAACCCTAAACCCTAAACCCTAAACCCTAAACCCTAAACCCTAAACCCTAAACCCTAAACCCTAAACCCTAAACCCTAAACCCTAAACCCTAAACCCTAACCCTAACCCTAAACCCTAAACCCTAAACCCTAAACCCTAAACC